GCGAAGCCCGCCCATGTCCTAAAGGCGCGCCAGTTTGGTTTAAAAGAAAATGAAGGGCCACCGTTGCTTCGTTTGCGCCTTCTCGTAAAGTGCGGCCGCTTCATGACTGCGTGATACGACTCTCGCGACTACTTCCAACTGATATGTTGCAAGGACGCGCCTCGACGCCGTCACCATCATCGTCGATCGAGCTCCACTGACCATCGTTGCCGTTATCCTCTCCGACGGCGCTAAGCGTCAAAGTTCCACAACTCAACCGAACAGTGCCAGAAAATCTAAAAGGAGAACGAGACGGAGATAGAGATATCGCGGAACAAGCGAGTAAGAGGCATCTTCTTCGCCGCCGCCGCCGCCGCCGCCACCGCCACCGCCGCCGCCACCGCCGCCGCCGCCGCCACCGCCGCCGCCGCCGCTGCCGCTGCCGCTGCCGCTCTTGTCGTCTCTCGCCCACATGCGCTGCTGCCGTGTCGAGAAAACAGACTGCCTGCATTAGTGCACGATTTTCGATTACTCTTGGCGAGCATCCGTCTGTCGCTCGATACGATTGCCTCCACTGCTACCGTCTTGATTTCTGTTCCGTGGACGAGGTGGTGCAGTTGGTCATAGTTAACTGGTGCACGGCGATCTTCCTAACTCCCTTCCTACTTCCGAGATAGTGGGAGAAACAGAGAGAGAGAGAGAAAGAGAGAGAACGAGCGAGTCTGAACGAGGGAGTAGGGGGAGAAAGAAAGAGAGAGAAAGAGAGAGAGAGAGAGAGAGAGTGGGAGATTGTGACGGGGGGAGAGAGATAGAGTGAGAGAGAACATGTGTTAATAATACATATATATATATATATATACGTGCGTATAAATAAATGTATATAAATACACGTACACGCACGCATATTATATATATATATATATATATGTGCGTGTGTGCGTGTGAGTGTTTGGATTTGCGTGTACATATGTAATATATATTATATACTATATATGATATATTTTTTTAATATTGAATGTGTTCGTAAGGTGTCGTCGGCGTGGAAGTTAAGTGTGCCGGGAAGGGTAAGAAGAGGACAAAGAATAAAAAAACATGAGTGGAGCTGCTGCTCGCCATTGCTCGCAGCTGATGGCGGTTGTCGTGCGCCTCGATCGTCGTTAAATGAAAGCAGCAGCGTTTGCGTAGCAGCTCGTTCCCTCTCTCTCTCTCTCTCTCTCTCTCTCTCTCTCTCTCTCTCTCTTCCTCCCTCTCTCGCCCTTGCTCTCTCGCTCTCTCGTTCCGTAGAAACAGACGAAAAGAACACTATACACGCGCGCGTTATACCCAGAGCTTTTCCGTTTACGTGTGCGTGTTGCATGGTTGCGCGCTTCTTCTCGCGACATACAGAAAAAACGAAGAAGAAAATATAATAATAATAATAATAATAATAACAACAATAATAATAATAAGAAGAGGAAGAAAAAACGAAGCGTTAATTGCGCGCGTACGTACTCAGAGGGGCCCGCGCGCACGCATGCACGCACCACACATACATGCGTATATGCATACATAGGTGCGGAACTCACGTCACGTATATTCCGTTAACAAGTCGCGTTTGCACTCTACATAATACATTACAGTTGCGGATGGTTGTGCATCGCACTTTTTAATGCTACAAACACGCGCGCGTCAAGGAAAAGTAATACCAGGAAGTGAGCGAGAGAAGAGAAAAAGGACACGTGCGCGCAGAAGTGGAAAATCGTAGAAGGACGCGCACGCCTCTTACTTTGGAGAAATAGTGGTAATCTTCCAGTTTCGTCATTTTTCGCTTTTCCTTTCTTTTGTAACTCTTCGATACATGCGCGCGTAGCCGCGAGAAAGAAGGAGTAGGTGGCGACGGCTCCGGCGGGGGAGGAAGTCATCGCCGCCCGGTGTAAGTGCGCGTGTACAATAATTACACTCTCTAAGCGGCAAAGGAAAGTCGCAACAACGTTATATCCATAGGCTGGAGAAACGCGCCGGGGACCGCCCGTGTGTTGCTTATACGCGCGCGCACTTCAAACGCGCTCATACCTCTCTTCTCTTCTCTCGAAAAATAAGAGAGAGAGAGAGAGAGAGAGAGAGAGAGAGAGAGAGAGAGAGTGAGCGAGTGTGATTCGGCTGAAAGGCTGGCGGGAGGGAGGGAGGTAGAGACTGACTGACTGACTGCGTGTATGTGCGTGCGTGCGCGCGCGCTTGTTTGTGTGTGTGTGTATTAGCGAGAGCCCGCCAGAGGGTAGAGCGTCTGGAGTACGCGACTATATATGTACTCCTGGGGGTTTTGGAAAATTTACGTTTTTTTCTTAAGCCCGTCTCTCACTCTCTCGGTTTCAGGATAGCGACTGGGACCACCGCGTGACCGCTTCCCGAGAAAGGAAACCGGCAAGCAAAAGAGAGAAAGACATCGACGAGAGCTGTGGGAGAGTAAAGGAGACGTGGATATATAGAACGTACGAAGAAACGATTAACGACGATTCACCTCCAGACTTCGTCGTCACAGCCGCCGTGACAACGCCTTGTTTTTCATCGTTTTAATCACCTCGCAACCGTCTTCTACAATTTATCCATGAAAAGAAAGCAGATGCTCTTTAAAAGCACAAGTGTAGCTAATTCGGATCTTTTTTAAGTACAGAGGCAGAAGATTGTGGAATAAAGAAGAGGTTTAATCCAAGTGTTACGAAGAGTCTGTAATGGTGTACCTCTTGGGGTAAGCGAGTGTTGGTTGTATGTTAATACAAGTGCTTTGGTTTCATTTTAAATCGTGTGAGTGAATAGTGCAGTTCTGGCTTCCGAAGTCACGTATCGCTAGTTGAATTCACCATCTGCTCCAGGGATGGACCCAGTCATCTTTAGCTAACACAACCAAGGAGTAGGAGAGGTACGAGCACAGTGTCGTATAAATAGGCTACCCATCCAGCACCCACAGTGCCTCCATTTAAAAGTCCACCATGTCATCAACAGCGACATTTGTGGATCGGATAGATCCTTTTGCTAAGCGTTCTCTTAAGAAAAAATCTAAAAAGTCTCAAGGGTCGTCCCGCTATCGTAATTCGCAGGACGTTATGCTACAACAACTTCCAGAGCTCAAAGGTTAGTACTTATGCCGATTGTTCTAAAAAATTAATTTTGTGATTGTACCTTTATTATTTATGGGCAGCAGGCCCTTTACTAAAGAGTTAGTAATTAAAATTAGAATGTATACTGTGTAGCGTCTATATATATTTTAATATAATATATTTAATATCGAAACAAATGTAAATTTTAAGCTACTCCAATCTATTAATTTTTTACAAAGATAGTTTCTACAAAAATACCCACAAAAATTCGATTAAATATTAATGATTCTCTCACTTTCATTTCAATATAAATGAATATACCAAAATTAATTTTGGCATTGGATAAGAAGAATACACAACGTCTGGAAAATTTAGAAGATTATTTTTAAGAAAAATTTAATAATATACATTTACATTTGACGCAGAATAAATAAATTAAAACATTTATAAATATATTTGTTACTGTAACAAATATAAAAATAAAATTTATTTCTGCATATTTTGAAAAAAGGAAAAAAACTTAATCCTCTAGATGAAACAAGACCTTGTGAACATAACCTATTTTATTACACTTCATGTGATTGAAGTTAATTTCAATTTTAATTAGAAGTCCAAATTGAAAATAATTTTATTAAATTCAGCTGTCTATTATCCATTAACTTTTTTTTTTTGTATCAAATTATTTCTATAAAGTACTCGATTGCAATTAAATATAAATAATTAATAATCAAAATTGTAATGTCTATATTAATTAAATCTATATTGGAATTGTGATTCTATTCTAAAGTAATTTAAGATATTGAACTTAACTGAAAATAGATTTATATTATATAAAAAATCATTAATTTTATCTTATATAGTTTATAATCATATAAATGTACTATTAATTATATATTATTTGCTATAAATTAATTTGAAAATATTTCAATGTTAATATAAATTTCAATTATTAAGAATTGCAACTTGTCCACTCTTATTAGATGAATAAATACTTCTATCATCTTACAAATTAACCAAAACAAATAAATTGATTATTAACGTTAAAACTTTCTACTACATAAATGAACTTAAATAAATCATTCTGCGAAGTTTCAATTATGCAACAAGTAGTTTTCACTTGGTTTGCCTTGAATGACCTGATAGATGACGATGAAACTATTATTTCCATCATGCAAGTAGAATAATATTTTAATTTAAGAAACTACTTCATAATCTTTTAAGGTTATAATTATGACTTACAATTTAAGTAAAAATTTATTAATGAAAAATTTTTTCAAATTTCTGAAAATGAAAGTATTTTATATAATATTTGTTAACTTATCAGCATATTTTCTTAGCTGCCCATTATAAAAACTAATTAATTTTATTTCTAAAAATATTTAAATTTATATAGTTTAATAGTATATTATTATAAAATACATTACAATATTACTGCAAGTTTTTATAAACTAAACTGTTAACAGTATTTCAATCCTATATTTGTAGTATAATCTATAGGTCCTAAAATTAATTAATTACAAGTATTGACTTATGAGAACTTATATGTTACTTATATTTATTTTACTAAATTAATTATTATATCAAGGCCATTTTAATATATGTGTAATAAATGATGCTTAAAAATAATAATGAGATCTTCACTTTCATAAATATATTTATAACGGTTTTACCTAAAGTTAATGATTTTTTTTATTTGTACATAATAAAATTTCTGTAGTATATGAGAATAGTAAGATTTTGAGTTTTAAACGTAATCGAAGGGGTTTTTTCAAATTGCATTCAGAATTGTCCAGTAACATAAAATAATGACAAATTATAGTGCATTTAGATAATATCTGTAATGAGTCTTTTTTCAAACCTAACATATATTCAGCACAACATGCATTATTCTTTTTCATGCTCGAGTTTTAAATTAAAAAGTAATAGGAAAATATTTTAATTCGCTGCATTATGAAATTTTAAAGATGGATCTTTTACATCTTCATATCAACAAAAATATAAATGAAACCTCGCAGTCTATACTTTGTTAATAAGATATGAATAATGTTACTATAAATCTTATTTAAATATTGTTTAACACGCGTGCGCACTCACACACACACACGCATACACGCGCGCTCTATTTTAAATATTTTCAAATAATGCATATTATAATGGCACTGTAGATAATTAAATTTTTACTACTAGATATTTCAAATCAATATATACAATATTAATATCAATAATCTATAATAATGTAATGTAATTGGAAAAATGTATACGATTAAAAATCTTATGAAAGAATCATAATAATAATTGTACTATATTTATAATTTTGTTAGATAAGTGATTTTCAAAATTATCTGGCGAAGCATACATGATATCATTGATTGTAGGTGCACGTGCAACACTAAGTAGTTTAATTTAAGGTTGATTATATACTTGGAGCATACACTACAATGCACATGAACTTAGCGGCTGCTACGTTGCTTGTGACAGTCACTTATGAAAGTACTTACCACGTGGTTGCGCTTTTTGCAACTGTATAACATATTTATATATAAAACTTCTTTATATAATAAGTTGAATTTTGAAATTGTATCAGAAAAGTAAGCAGTATTGTAAAAGTAAATTTTTTTATATACATTAAAATATCATAATTTAATTGTATTTCAATTTGACATAATCGAAGTATAATAATAATAATAATAACAATATACTAAAAAACGATTTATTAATGATTTTTATATAACAACAAATAATAAGATTCTTTCCACACTAAACGGATAAATGGATTACATTTTAAAATAAAAAGACCTATAATATTATAATAATGATCGATTTCGTATAAAGTGATAATTTAAATAAAATTCTGATTCGATATTTCGTATAATTTTATATTATAAGATAGATTATATGAAATAAGAAGGTTGTACAATTTTAATGTAAATTAATATTATTTTCAAGTTTACTTAATTATACGTATTTTCATTAATATAAATATAATAACCAAAGTTCTTGATATTCTATAAAAATTTAACAAAATTCTTAATTCGCGATTCTTAGAAAATTTTATAATTAATTGTTTGTTTCAAATTCGAGTTAATTAAATTTAAATACTTATACTTCCATATTGTTTTAGAACAACACTAATTATCTTTATGTTATTTATGTTAATAACTTTTTAAAATAATACATTGTTTAACCGTAATGAACAATTAAGCATGATTTTATTATAAATGGAATTATTTTTAATGAAAACTTTATATATTGATAAGCAGTCGATACGGTAGAACACGAAGGACAGTATTATCTGTTGAAGTTGTTGAAAATGTACTTTAATTGTAACCATTGTTTTATAAATTATTAAATTTATTTAATACAGCAGCTATTTTATATCTTGACATTTTTTTCTATGCAAAAAATTATAGTTTACTTTTTAAAATAATCTAATAATTTAAAATAATTTTAAAATACATTTTAAAATAATACTTGCTAGTGGATCTGGTACATATATGATATTTTAATGTCCTAGTTGTGTCAAATTTATAACAATATGCGTTTTCAATAATATATAAATATATAATGATTTTTCATTAAAGAAATAGTGTAAAACTATTGACAGACTATAATACATATTAGTCTTAAGCAGTAACCACTGAATACTCTTTAACATTCTCTTTATTTTAAACAGCTGAATGTTATTTATTTTTGAAGTGATAAAAATACTTATCTATCGTAACAAAAGTGCGAACTGCTATAATACGTAAATTGTCTGCATAAGCATTAAATGATTTTTCTATGGAAATGTTCTTTTTAATCAAGGAATATACGCTTACCAAAAAATTAAATAATGAAATATAAAATTAAAATACCCATATCGTGACAAATAACCGATAAAAGTTTGTAAAGATGTTTATAACTATAAGTAGGTATTACCAACCAACTTGCGGCTTCCTTAAACATGATTGATCTTAAGCACAAATTGAAACAAACAAAAAGCATTTATTTAAATATATTCTTTTATCTTATTATTAAAGTTATATCTATTCGGCATGTTGCAGCAGTACCAATGAAATTATCTTTCTATTCTCTAATAAGCTATTATAGAATTTTATAATAATAAATATTCTAATTGCTGTACAACGTTAAACCTAAGCGGAAACTTGTGGCTTTTTACTTTGTGGTTATGCGTTCAAAAACTTAGGACGGTCACCTAAATAAGCAAGTATACCCAACAAATAACCTGAAGCGCTACTCTATCTCACAGGGAAGTACGTGGAAAATCTACTACTTTATTAGTCAGAGTCAAGAACTGTATTTATCCGAACAATTCTGACCTTTACAGGGAGTTTTATTTTCAAGCACCGATTACTACATCAACAACGTGTACTTGTACATATTTATACGCAATTTTTTCCAACTCACATATCACGACGCGTAATAGATTTATCGGGAAAATGTTGCTGTTACCACACTGGAATACAATAATATTTTGCTTATTACTACCAATGGCTATAAGCTATTATGCTTATGTTACCAATTGACCTTAGTCGTACGAAAATTATGAATAATTGTCAATAATATTTTTAATTAAGAAAAATATTTTTAATTAAAATGCCTTTTTTTTTTTTTTTTTTTTTTTTTTTTTTTTTATTTAGTATTTTTGAAAATTAGATATTTGAGATAATTACATCTGTCATAGCTAAGTAGGTATATATGGAATGGCTTTATTTGAGGTGTTGACCTCGCGTATCTTGTTAATACTCAAAACAGATACATAAATAAATAATGTATTAGCTATTTGATATTTACATAAATTTATTCTTGGATGCATCGTCGGTGAGTGTTTTTTTTTTTTTTTTTTTTTTTTTTTTTTTTGGCAGCTAGGATTTAATAAGTTATTGAACCGCTAATCCAATTTATTCTAATTGAAAAGAAATTTTCTTGATCATAGTCAAGATTCGCAAATAAAATGCAAATAATATTTCAAAATTAGCGTAGAATCAATTTTAATGTTTCAATTATTATAGCGAGCACTGACGATAGAGAGAA